TTTAAATACTTTAAACTTTTTAAAATAGAATAGAATCTCATAGAAAAAAGTATTGCGCACCAAGCGAACGCCGAATAAAGATGTTCATAATGGTGCGCAATATTATTAGTACTTTATAAATTTAGATGCGTTTTGAGAAATCGGAAATAGCGTAAATTAGTACTTCCCGTCAACGGAAATTACTCAAAATTTAATAGAAGGTAGAGAATTAGATCTTTTACTTACAGGTGAAATTTCATTCATCTATATGAAATAGTACTCAAGTTATAGGCTTTTGAAAAATTGAAAGTAGAAAAAGTACCACTTCCGGTTATCGGAAATCGCTCAAAAGTTGATACGGATCTACGATTTTGATAAAATACTTATATATGAAATTTCATCAACCTAGCTGTAACGGTACTCAAGTTATCGTGTTTACACACACACACAGACACACACACACACAATAGTCTGTTTTCCGTATTTCCTTATATTATAAAAGAGAACTTTACTAATTAGTGAATGTAATCTAATTTAAGTGTTATTGGCCCTTATTTTGTACATAGGGTGTAAAAGAGCACATCCTCCACGCATAACACGCTTGTCAACGGAAAGATTTAAAACTGCAAACTTTCTAAGCTTTCCTTTCTTGGACAAACTCGATTCAGACTACAGCAGCGAAAATTACTTTTCCGATATTCTTATCAGATACTGCACGCACTTGTAGTCGATTTTACAACCTTCTTATCTGAGTACCTACGTCATTTCTTTATCAGATACGGTGTTACCCTTTTAAAAACAACTAATTTTTTGTTCCTATCTCTGGACCGTGATCCAAATAAGATCGTGCTGACGATGGTATCGATGAATATAACAACACGTTTTGGCTTAGGGATTGGTTGTAGGATACCCGAATTTTTGGACCGACGCACACATGTTCTTTGGTACACGATGGGCAGAAGCAATAGACGGTTTAAAGATTGGTGGTGTGTTGTTGATGGTTTAAAGATTGGTGGTGTGTTGTTGATGGTTTAAAGATTGGTGGTGTGTTGTTGATGGTTTAAAGACTGGTGGTATGTTGTAGATGGTTTAAAGACTGGTGGTGTGTTTTAGATTGTTTAAAGATTGGCGGTGTGTTGTAGATTGTTTAAAGATTGGCGGTGTGTTGTAGATGGTTTAAAGATTGGTGGTGTGTTGTAGATGGTATAAAGATTGGTGGTGTGTTGTAGATGGTTTAAAGATTGGTGGTGTGTTGTAGATTGTTTAAAGATTGGTGGTGTGTTGTAGATGGTATAAAGATTGGTGGTGTGTTGTAGATGGTTTAAAGATTGGTGTTGTGCTGTAGATGGTTTAAAGATTGGTGGTGTGTTGTAGATGGTTTAAAGATTGGTGGTGTGTTGTAGATGGTTTAAAGATTGGTGGTGTGTTGTAGATTGTTTAAAGATTGGTGGTGTGATGTACATGGTTTAAAGATTGGTGGTGTGTTGTAGATGGTTTAAAGATTGGTGGTGTGTTGTAGATGGTTTAAAGATTGGTGGTGTGTTGTAGATGGTTTAAAGATTGGTGGTGTGTTGTAGATGGTTTAAAGATTGGTGGTGTGTTGTAGATTGTTTAAAGATTGGTGGTGTGTTGTAGATGGTTTAAAGATTGGTGGTGTGATGTACATGGTTTAAAGATTGGTGGTGTGTTGTAGATGGTTTAAAGATTGGTGGTGTGTTGTAGATGGTTTAAAGATTGGTGGTGTGTTGTAGATGGTTTAAAGATTGGTGGTGTGTTGTCCGAGTTGAGCGGTGCCTGCGAGATATAGGTCAAGGTCAGGATGACACCACCTTCGCCTGTAATATATTAATTAGTGTTGATTTTAAAAAATACTAAATTAACACCTCAATGTGTTCCATAAACAAAATGTGACAGTTTTGTTTTGCTATGGTCGTCGGTAGAAACAGACAGGGATATCTCTTCTGGGAAATCCCGAAGCGCACCCGTGTCATTTGTAGTCGTGTGTGATGTTGTGAAGTTGACCTGTTGTGGTGTCTTGATGTTGTGGTTTTACCATGTAGGCCTAGTGGTGTGCTAATGTTGTGATGTTTACATGAAGTGATGTGCACATTTTGTGATGTATTTAGTGATGTAAAAAAATGTTGTTAGTCATACCGCCCTGACTATCACAATAGCTAGGTAATGTATAGTTTATTTGATGTAACCTCAGCATCTTAATGGATGGTATGGTCAGTTGTACTCCCAGCCGGCTTACTGTCCATAACTTGAGTCAGGTACACATTACAGCTGGGTCGACTCGAGGACGTCAAACGGACCATAGTCTTGGAACCAACCTCTGGTGAGCAGCTGTAAGCTCTACCCCCTGACCACGCCACTTCACGCGCTAACATCCTGATGTTGTGATGTTAAATGTGTTGGTACAGAGATGTTTGGATGAGACGGGGTGATGTGATGGGCTCATGTTCTAGTTCATTTGGCCAAGGGACCTCTGACCCCTCTAGAAGATTCTGCGAACAAACTTAACGTCAACACGAACTAATGTTTACAATGTTAAGCTCCTATTTTTTAGTGCGGCGTCCTAAGATACGTAGATGTAAAATTTCCCGTGGGGTGGGGGTGGATCTGTTGTAAACTCAAGTTTTATATTGCACTCATCTGCGCGACTCCTCGTGGAAAAAAACCAGGTGTATACAACTATATGACGTCACAAACATGTACATGGGCCTACTTTTTTATCTGTTGGTCAGTTAATCCATTCACTTTTTGAGATGTTTTTAAATTTGTTTTGTTTTCATAGATTCCGCCTGTTGTAATTTTCAAATCTGTCCTTCCTACGTGGATTAAAAATTTTGAGCAAACAGTTTCAGCATAGTTCAGATCTCGCGTGGTTTTAAGTTACGGACGTTGATTAACAGCACTAGAAAAGCGCTGATCGTATAATCACGTGACAAATGTCACGTGATCTCAAGCCAAAGGCGTTACGTGACGTAAATGGTTTATCTTTATAAAGTTTTAGATTTTTTTTCTTATTTAATAATGAGAGCCTTATTTTTCATGCTGAATCAGCGGAATTGTTAAAATAATCAAAGTACCTTTATGCAACAGATAAATTGTTACGGTTAAGGGTCTTCTATGGAACCTCTCTTCCCATTAAAGCTTGTAGCGTAGTATCCAGACTTTATCTACAAGAACGAGTTTTTTTTATGATACCCTCATCAGTTGAGTATGTCAATACGAAATATTTTATTACGACTCCCTTAGCTGTTTACTTACGGCAGTTGTTTGAAAGACCTTGATACGATGGTGTACGTTTTAATTTTTTTTTAATACGATCGTATCATTCTTCTAAAAATGCGAGTATGGTTATCAAGGGTATAAAAATTTAGTTAGTAAAAATAATTTTATGTTAAGCAGAGGTAGGCTTCTGATTAGAGGTATAATGTTTAAAATACTGCTTCTTGGCAGTGTCTAAACCACTGAGTCACGATGATTCATTATAAACAAAGCTAAAATGATACTTTGAATCGTCTGAATCATAATGTAGCATATCTCGGTAAAAAGACAGCGCAGCTAGTAGATTTACAACAGGAGGTAGATTAAATGTCAAGAGTACGGGCTGTCTTTATAGTACAGGCTGTCTTTATAGTACAGGCTGTCTTTATAGTACAGGCTGTCTTTATAGTACAGGCTGTCTTTATAGTACAGGCTGTCTTTATAGTACAGGCTGTCTTTATAGTACAGGCTGTCTTTATAGTACAGGCTGTCTTTATAGTACAGGCTGTCTTTATAGTACAGGCTGTCTTTATAGTACAGGCTGTCTTTATAGTACAGGCTGTCTTTATAGTACAGGCTGTCTTTATAGTACAGGCTGTCTTTATAATACAGGCTGTCTATATTATGTTAAAGTATGGCCTGTTTATGTGTTAAAGTATGGCCTGTCTATGTGTTAAAGTACGGGATGTCTATGTGTTAAAGTACGGGATGTCTATGTGTTAAAGTACGGGATGTCTATGTGTTAAAGTACGGGATGTCTATGTGTTAAAGTACGGGATGTCTATGTGTTAAAGTACGGGATGTCTATATTAAAGTATGGCCTGTCTATGTGTCAAAGTACGACCTGTCTATGAGCTGTCTGAGATAAAGTACGGGATGTCTATGTGTTTAAGTACGTGATGTCTATGTGTTAAAGTACGTGATGTCTCTAAAATTAAATTTTGTGTTGTCTAAGTGTTTCAATATGAAATGTCAGTGATAAAATATGAGCTGTTTAGAAGTTACAGTAAAACATATGAACGATCTATCGTCAAATTAAAATCTGAACAAAACTATTTCTGACGATAAATTAGGTTTCTTGATTTCAAAATATCACTTTCATATGTTTTCAAATGACGTCAATGTGTTTGAGTTGCGGCAAGCGATACGATATCGATAGAAAGTTCTATTGAAAGGTGACACCAAAATGTCGAAATACACTAGAAGGTCGAAAGTGGGCGATAGCTATTCGTCGATCAGTATCGAATCATTGCGACAGAATCTGAGTTGGGTCTCTGGTTTGGGTAGCGATACTAGCGACAACATGGCGTCTACATGACACGTACGGGTTGATACAACTATCGCCATACCCACATTTGAGAAATGAGTTATACCTGGGTCCGACCGATTCCAATAATGAAATCTTTTTAAAGGGGTGTTAGATTACGGACAGTAAATTAAATACGGACGATATTTCGAGTCGTCCATTTGAATCCCGGTCAGAACGTCCCCACGGCCTGACCCTAATCAACCTATTTTCAGAAGAGACTATTTTCGGACACAGCTAACACCAATACTCTTCGAGTCCTATCATAGCCTTAACCGTAATTTCTGACATGATTTTATAATAATTATACTACAACATGGGTAACTTACACATTTTCAAAAGTCTAGTGTCGGACACAGCTAACACTTGGGTTTATAGACCCTGGTTGCTAGATACTTGATTTATGGAAGGACGGCAGTTAAAAATATGGCAAGAGACTCACTGTTGGGTTGGGAACTTGACACAGGCGATGACGTATCCATGATGGTCTCACTACTGCAGTCTCACAATGGTCTCACTACTGCAGTCTCACAATGGTCTCACTACTGCAGTCTCACAATGGTCTCACTACTGCAGCCTCTCAAAGTTTTGTTGTACAGGGGTGGGGTTATAATGTAATCAGATTGACGTCATAGATAGCTGTGCACTTTAGCAGTGTGAAAAGTTGACGATACGACCCCAGCTCTCTAAAAATAGTGTGTAGCTTTCCCTGTGTAGCGGTGATCCTGCCGTGTCAACATCGCTCACGTCTTGTTTACTGAGTTATGCAAATTAGATCTGATTGAGACGTGAATGAAAAACTGTATTTTTATTGGATAAATGTCAGCAAGAGTCTTCTTCAGCCCTGTCACGTGGGTGATCCCACTTGGTTTCTACCTGTTGGACAATAAAAATATTTGAATCAGTGAATCTCTTTATTTGTCGGAGTTGGTAGGACATTTTACACGACTTTAATATCCTTTAATTCTGGGGAACTTAGATCACATAATAATCTGTTCAAAACAATAAAATCAGCATTGATTAAAACAGTTCAGAACAAGATTTCAAAGAAACTGAAGCTTTGCCACTAAGTAACAATTTTATTGGTAGGATAATAGACTAAATTAGTGGAGATATTGAAATATAATTGGTATATTTTGTTGAAAAACTGACAACAAATTTTTTTCTTAGTGCAAATGAACGACACGAGAACGAGGTTTTATTGATAAACTACTTAAGATATGCTTTATTGATAAACTACTTAAGATATACTGATCAAGGTAATGTTTGATGAATAATTATTGTTCTTTAAATCATAAGAAAGCACCGCTACCTCCGGATACAAAGATCATAATTTTTTTCCCGTTCGTACACAAAACACACGGGGAAGATGAAGTAGAGTTCATCTGTTATCCCGGAATACAAGGGTATAGTGTAGTCAGCACTAAGCCCAGCCGCCTTGGTTTTCCTAGTCTAGTGCTTATCAGAGCTGGGTGAACTTAGCGAAGTCCTAGAGATGCAGCCCGATAAAAATCTACACAAAATAAGGTACACGACTTTATTGTACGCCAACCATGTAGGCCTACCGATGAAAATGTGACGTGATGCACATAGTACTCCGATTTTTTTTTTAAAGGGGGGGGGGGGTGGGGATTGTTACTTTAAATTGATGACTGACGAGAATCCAGAAATGCTTCTTGTGCACTGTGTTATCATGGGTAGGGCTAGGGCTAGAGTAGTTATAGTGGCAACAACCAGAGTTTCTTCCAGTCATCTCTTCGTAGGGACGGAGCCCCCCTCCCCCCCCCCCCCTTGAAGAATGTCTACTCCCCCCCCCCCAAGGAAATGGAATTTATATAAAAAATATATACTTTTAACAGTGTTCGTCCCCGTCCCGTCCCCCCCCCCCACCCACCCCCCCCCCACCCCCCCCGAAAATATTTAGTGCCCCCTCCCCTGAGAAAAAAATCTGAAGGAAACACTGGCAACAACAATGGATCCACATGCCATATAAGGGTTAGGGTAGTTATAGTGGCAACAACATTGGGTCCACATGACAGGTAAGGGTTGTTATAACTATCGCCACACCAATGGTGTCACAAGGTGTGGTGACTGAGGGTGTCACCCACCCTCCTCCTACAATGTTGCAGACAGCTAAAAGAATTTCGCCTGTTTTAATTAAAGTAATAACTATAGAGACTAAAGTTAATGAAATTGAAAACTGACTTTAAATCTCGTTGTGCGGATATCACAAAATTTAATTTACATAGTAATTTAAAGGGAAAATATTTTAAAAAAACACGTCCTTTTGTACTTGTTTAAAATCCTGGTTCAGTTGTTCATCGTTAGCATCAATTAGTGCAATCACTAAAATAATTAGATATTTAAATGAGCATTTCGCTAATACACTTAAAATAACACCGATAACTCATAATTTTAACACGTACACAAAAATACCTTACCTAAGAATCAGACTGACAAAAATAAAATATTTTCCTAAAATAGCCAACGGAAATTCCCCATTGATAAACCTTACTAATAATTTCTAACGGGGTTTTCATTTTCAATTTAGAAATCTCACGGTTAAAAATAGCTTTTAGTAACGTTTTTAACAAAGGTCACTCCGGTAAAAAAAAAATAGGTTGGTCAAAAGTTAATTAACTGGAGCAGGATAGAACGTGATGGGGTGTATTGTACAGAACGTGACTGGACATAGAGCAGAGATTAAAAATTTGTTTTGAAAGCAGTTATTGTGAAATAGGTAGAAAAACCCTACGACAAAAGGTGGATTATTTTCTATAAACAAAAATCAACTGCGTCACTGAGTAGACACGGAATTAAATTTTAAAAATGTTAACCAAATTAAAATTAGAAAATTAAACGTACACTTTGAGCTAAAAATCAGATTTTTTTCTTTCTTTTTTTAGTTCAACTGAAGCCAAATACATTTAGAACACATCAATTAAATGTGAAGACAAACATTACATACGCGCATGGATTAAATGTCAAGATATATATCATATACAGATGTCAGCTAAATGTCAAGACATACATAATATTTTTATATACACATATCAGTTAAAGGTCAAGACATACATCATATGATCATATACACATATCATTTAAATGTCAGTACATGCAATACATACACAATTCTAAGGCTGGACCACAAGCGCAAAGATGACTGAGTCAACTCAGCTTTAATGGGTACCTGACAGCAAATGGCGGATTAAGTGGGACACGGAAAAAGCTGTAACTGTGAGCAATCGGGTTTTAACACGAAACATGAGCATGATTGTAAAATTATTTTAGAGAGGGGGGCCATGAATAAGTTTGACCCAGGGGCCCACGAATGAGTTTGACCCAGGGGCCCAAGATTCAGTTTGACCCAGGGGCCACGAATGAGTTTTAACACAAGGACCACGTCAACGGGTGAAGAAGAAAGGAAGTGAACTCCAGAGGTGGGTCTTACACTAAGCAAGCCTTGATCCGATTTACTACGTAACCTACATTTTCACCCCCTGTCATTATGGCAGAAGGAAGTGACAAGTTCGATAATGGCAGTAGTCGCCCCTGTGTCGGGTGGAGGCTGTAGATCGAACAGAGGCTGGAACAACAAGCTTGAAGCAACACTTCCCTAGAGGCATCGGACAAAGAAAGAAGTGGCGTACCTATGGGGGGAGGCGGGGGGCGGTCTGTCCCATCCATAAGGTTTTTATATACGATGCGTGAGGTAGGGTGAGAGGCAGGGAATTCGCGGTTAAATATCAACTTCATCTGCTGCAAAAGTTACAGAATTAGCGACTCGTTTTAAACTCTTGGCACATCGTAATGAAAATCCCCCCTTACCACAACACACACAAACACATACACAAACACATACATACTTTTAGTGGGTATCCGAGACCACTGCAACTCGGCCACTTGCTTCGTACTCCGAACAACGATGGTTCGAAGTTCAAAGCTGTATCTCCAGAGAGAAATATTCCTTTAACTTTAACACAGCAAACAAATATGCCCAGCACAAAAAAATGTACTAAATACAACAAACAACAGCACTCAACACAATATCCCTCCTTAGAACATACACAAGCACTCAGTGCAACAAACAACACGACATACAACATTATTAGCCTACAACAGTACTGAGCACCAACTACAACAGTACTCACGCCAACTCCGTATAACAAGCAACTTACTATTATCTAAAAGCCGTGTTGTTCCAAGGATAAGAGATAGCACTCCAACGAACGTCCTCACTCATCACAACAAACAAAAATCACTTTACAAGAAGTAAGAGAATGCATTTATTTTTATATCCCCACAGTATTGCATAACAAGCAAGCCTCGGGACTTGCTAAATGCCACCAACCCACGGACGATAACTCCAATTATCTCAGTCGCGCTATAGCGAGGATATATACCAAGAATTGATTGTCTCCCTTAACTCGCGAGATATTTTCCCCCACTTCGCCGCGGCGCTCGTCTTTCCCATCCCCAACCCACAAGTAAACTGGCAACTAATTGCCATCGTTTCCATGGCAACTCGGAAGCCGAGAACTCCTGGAAACGTTATTGTATTTTAAAATCGAAAAGGAAAAAAAATAATGTTTATTATCTGTATCTGTCAAACGTTTTAAGACAGACAAATGGCGTGCTAAATTTCTGTCAGCCGTACACACATATCAGTAAATCTCTACCTGAGATTGTCACGTGTTGTCCACAGTTGGCCCTAACATGGGGGTTGTCTTGCTTGTATAGGGTGGTCAACGTGTGGACGTTTCATAATGTGGCGTTGCATATATTTGTAATTGATAATTAATTTATAATTAATTAATTACAGGTGTCGTTTGTATTTCTTACGTAAATTGATAAAAAAAACATACTAATTCTCGCTGTGTCGTTATGTAAGCGGGGAGGGGGTGACGTCGTGTTAGAGGGTAGGGATATCTGGTCGTGAAGTATAGGGGGGGGTGGAGTTCTTTCAGGCTTCTCTTCGTGGGAGGGGGGAGGAGGCTCGTCTACCGCCCCCTTCCCCACCAAAAAAGAAACTATATAGAAAATATAGGCTTTTATAAATTTTGCTCCCCACTCCTCATTTATAGACTATAAAGTGTGTATAGCTCGTCACTGAATCTTACCTGGCTATTACACAAACTATGAAGACAATAATTCCATCGGTGTGTGAAGCCTTTAGCTGTAGCTCCAACATCAGTAATGGAACTTTTTTTTTCTAACCATGTTGGGAGCCAGTGGTTTTTTTCAGGCTCTTTTCTGTGGGGAACCTTACAATTTTCAGATGGGGGGAGGGGGGGTGGCAGACTAAATTTTCCAGGGGTGGGGTCGAACACTGGTAGAAGTATATATTTTCTATATGAATTATATTTCGTTCGGGGGAGGGGGCGAGCCCCCCCTCGAAGAGATGCCTGAAAGAAACTTTTGTTGGGGCCCCTTATGCTCGGCACCCATGGCGGACCCTGCACCCGCCCTCCCCTAGCTACGCCGCCATTTTAGGGCCAGTAAAAAAATCGGGGGACCTGTTAACTCCCCTATGTGTCGCCATATTGTCTAAAAATTTCAGATCGTTTGGAAAAATCAAACGCCAAAAAAGTCACCACCAAAACTTCCTTGTATCCTCCCACCTTACATAGTTCTCTCCCCTTAGCTGGAGTTGTTTTCCCGGTGTTTTCATGGATAGGCCAGTCACGACGGTGACCTTTAGCCGGTCAAATTGTTTCTAACGATCAATTAACATCTCACCGGCAAGTGAATTTGTGAAATATCGAGTACAGTTTAAGCAAATATTTAGCTTTCTTATAAAACTTTCGTACTTTAAAAACATATATAGATCTATAATTCTAATTTAACAGTATTAAGTGATGCCACTTTCGTGAAGTTTGAGAAAACACCTTGTTAGTTTTATCTTAGAATAATATTAATAACGATCTACGAGTTGACATAGGCCTACTTTCTTCTACTTTTATTTTTGTCGCTGGTTGTATGAGAGGCATAATAACGGAAGTCATTTGTCGCCAGTTCGATTTGACACCATCGATTTTCGAGGCCATTTTGACGCCGATCTGTCTCAAACAGTGTTTCTTCCAGACTTTTTTCTCCGGGGGGAGGGGCATTTGAAATTTTCGGAGGGGGGGGGGGCGGTAGACTTTCTTCGGGGGGCGGACACTGTTAAAATTATATATTTTCTATATAAATTATATATATTTCATTTCGTGGAAGCCCCCCCCCCCCCCCCCCCGAAGAGATGCCTGGAAGAAACTCTGGTCTCAAAGATTAACGATTGGTCATGTATTTAAGTAATTATTCAAAAGTTCAGAACATTTATCTCTCAATACGGGTGTAGATCTACTTGTTGAATCAGTTATCTAGAAAAAGGGGATTAAATTTGAATTTTTAAGGATGAATGGTATGATCAGTGGCGTAGGCAGGGGGGGGGTTAGGGGGGTCATAACCCCCCCCCCCCCATAGACCCCTCGGTATATATAAAAAGTATGAGGGGGGGTGCAAATCGAAAGTTTGAGGGGGGGTGCAAATCGAAAGTTTGAGGGGGGGGGGGTGCAAATCGAAAGTTTGAGGGGGGTGCAAATCGAAAGTTTGTCCCCGGGTAAAAATTGGAACCCCCCCCCCCCTTGAGACGATCCTGGCTACGCCACTGGGTATGATTGTATCTTAATCTAAATTTTAAATCCATAATAGGTATGAAAATATTATATGTAACAATACATAGAAATAGTAGTGGTGATTGGGGATGTTATATTATTTAATATAAATACAACAATAAGCTTTACACCGTCACTGTTTCTTCCAGGCATCTCTTCGGTGGAGAGGGGGGGGGGCGGACCCCCGAAGAGAGTCTACCGCCGCCCCCCCCCCCCCCCCCCCCCCCCGAATGAAATGGAATTTATATAGAAAATATATACTTTTAACAGTGTCCCCTGAAATTTTAGTCCGCCCCTTACCCCCCCCCCCCCTGCCCCGATGGAGAAACAAGTTAATAAAAAGTCTAGTGACAATTTAAGCGCAATTTCCTTAATTAATTTTTTAGAATTCACAGACCTACGTAAAATCCTTTCGAACCTCCGCTCATTCGCTATGGTAAAATCCTTTCGAACCTCAGCGCTTTGCGCTAAAAACCTACACGATGCTCAGTTTAAATTAAAAATACCATCCTAGGCCTACACGATGCTCAGTTTAAAAATTCTTAATTAATTTTTTGTGACCGAACGAAAGGATATTTTTGAAAACTTTCTTCGGCAATATTGTTCTAAATTATGGCAGGAATCGATTGGTAAATGTTTCAAGTCGCTAAGTGGTCTGGTTGCCGAGATATGGGCCAAAAACTGCATTTTTTCGAGGTTTTTTGGCTTTTCCTGGAAATCCATGAAAGAAACCCGGAATTTTTATGGCCTATGTTCATTCTCGTAACTTGCTTAACATAATTGCTTTTGGAACTAGTCATCGATATTGCTTCTTTGAGGAGGAGATACGACTTAAAGCCCGGACACACATTCATACATCCATACATTCATCCATCCATTCCCAGAAATGAAGAGTTAATAAACGCAATTCTCCAGAATGGAAATTGCGCTAAAAAATATGCTTTCTGGCAACAAAAATTTGGAACCATTTAGAACCACCTTTTCAAGTCTATTCTGACAAAATAGGTGCCTAGGCCAACTTTTTATTTTATTCGAAATTTTAAAGTAGAGCTCTCTTGTACTTTAGATTTACATCCGTTTTCCTGATAACGAAAATAGAGTGACGGGCCGCTTATGATTGTCAAAACTGACGCCGACAGTAGAAAACGCTGACCCAGTCTATAAACAATCATAAAAAAATAATCTAACAGTAGAGTCTAGTTTTGACTAACTTTAGAAGGAAGATGTCTTTTGTGGTCGACGCGGTCATGGTAGTTTCTCTACTAGTAACAGCATTATTTGCTGGAGGAGCACTGCTTGCAGGTCATTTTTTACTGGGGAAAAATCAGCCGAAAGTAGAGCGATGGGTTCTTTCTTGGCTTGTATTTGACGCCCTTATTCATTTCTTGTTGGTAAGGAAGAGAACGCCCGGCTCTTTAAATTGTCTCTAAATCTACACCTGTTCTGTCTTTGGACATGGGGGGAAGGCTTCTTTAAAATAGTGTGACATCACACTTTTGCAATGTAAAACTTAAATTATTTTTTATTTAGCAGTTAGAGTCTAGAATCTATTTTTGCATTTTAAAAATATATTTTTTTTTGTAGTTCTAGATTACCAATGCTCCTAGAATAGATTTAATTCCTAATCTTGATCTAGCTAGATCTATGTCAATGCAAATATAATTAACTAGGCATACTGCCTAGCTTCGCTTAGGTTTTTAAATAACATTTGAGAATTTGAATACTTAATTATTTAGCGATGGATTTGGTGTTGAGTGCTTTAATTTAAACAGTAATGCTAACTTTAGAAAAAAAATGTTTTAGTTTGTCATTTAAATACCGTTCTCAGAGAAATATCGGAAAGTACGCAATGTATAAGTAAAATGGAATTAGAACTACACAGAGGCGTAGCGAGGGGGGGGCGGGGGGGGGGACATATGTCCCCGGGCGCCGACTTTAGGGGGGGCGCCAAATTGAAAGTTTGAGGGGGGGGGGTGCAAATGAAAAGTTCGAGGGGGGGGGGTGCAAATCGAAAGTTTGAGGGGGGGTGCAAATGAAAAGTTCGAGGGGGAGGTGCAAATCGAAAATTTGCTCCCGAGGGGGGCGCAAAATTGAAAGTATGTCCCCGGGCGCCGGGAAGGGTCGCTACGCCTCTGGACACAGCTTCCATGAACAGTACATCTCATAGTTTTTATTACATTGCCTTTTGAAATTTATTTATTTATTTAATTGGGATACGTAACTAAATTAACAACTTAATTTTGTACTAAAACAAATGCTATACTTCGTCATTTTCTGTTTCTGTTTAAAATAGTATACAATTATTTAAAAAATAATAATTTAAAAAACGTTACCTCCCTTGAAAACTGAACGTATGACGTATGTCTTTGTTTTTTTTTTACAAACAGTTGCTATGCTTATATAAGAAATTACGGTATATGAACATATTTAACAACTATAATGGCTGTTTCCGACGGGATTAAAGTTTTTTTGTTAGCCTCCAGGGTCGGTCTACGACGTCACATAATATTAAGGGGATCGTTCGTCAATTTATTTATATATATATATATATCTCATATAAGGAGAATTTCACTCAAGATCATCTTTTAGCCCTCGTCGAGGGCTTTGAGTCTGACCAACAGTTTTTCCATACGGCCTAGTCATCTATAGTAGTGTATGCAAAAAATTAGCCAGATATACTGAGCTTAAGTACCCTAAAGTCTGCGTTGAAATGACCCTCTGTTTTTCCCATAAATACAAAGATTATATAGGGAAATACAACTGGTCAGTTTTGACCGCGTTACGAAGTTTTCCCAGATATGCCGAGTTTTTTGTGACACCCCTAGGTGTTCTTCTACCACCTCACAAAATATCAAGGGGGGTCGTCGGAGGAATTTTTTTTTCGTAATAGAGCTCATATAAAGAGAATTTCACTCGCGGTCACTTTTTAGCCCTCGTCGAGGGCTTTGAGTGTAACCGACAGTTTTCCCTAAAGGTCAAGCCATTGACCTATAAGCATGCAAAAAATTAGCCAGATATACTGAGCTTAAGTACCCTAAAGTCTGCGTTGAAATGACCCTCTGTTTTTCCCATAAAATACAAAGATTATATAGGGAAATACAACTGGTCAGTTTTGACCCATTTCCCGATTTTTCCCAGATATGCCGAGTTTTTTGTGACACCCCAAGGTGTTCTCCTACCACCTCACAAAATTTCAAGGGGGGTCGTCGGAGGAATTTTTTTTTTCGTAATAGAGCTCATATAAAGAGAATTTCACTCGCGGTCACTTTTTAGCCCTCGTCGAGGGCTTTGAGTGTAACCGACAGTTTTCCCTAAAGGTCAAGCCATTCACCTAGGAGCATGCAAAAAATTAGCCAGATATACTGAGTTTAAGTACCCTAAAGTCTGCGTTGAAATGACCCTCTGTTTTTCCCATAAAATACAAAGATTATATAGGGAAATACAACTGGTCAGTTTTGACCCCTTTACGAAGTTTTCCCAGATATGCCGAGTTTTTTGTGACACCCCAAGGTGATCTCCTACCACCTCACAAAATTTCAAGGGGGGTCGTCGGAGGAATTTTTTTTTCGTAATAGAGCTCATTTAAAGAGAATTTAACTCGCGGTCACTTTTTAGCCCTCGTCGAGGGCTTTGAGTGTAACCGACAGTTTTCCCTAAAGGTCAAGCCATTGACCTAGGAGCATGCAAAAAATTAGCCAGATATACTGAGCTTAAGTATCCTAAAGTCTGCGTTGAAATGACCCTCTGTTTTTCCCATAAAATACAAAGATTATATAGGGAAATACAACTGGTCAGTTTTGACCCATTTCCCGATTTTTCCCAGATATGCCGAGTTTTTTGTGACACCCCAAGGTGTTCTCCTACCACCTCACAAAATTTCAAGGGGGGTCGTCGGAGGAATTTTTTTTTCGTAATAGAGCGCATATAAAGAGAATTTCACTCGCGGTCACTTTTTAGCCCTCGTCGAGGGCTTTGCGTGTAACCGACAGTTTTCCCTAAAGGTCAAGCCATTGACCTAGGAGCATGCAAAAAATTAGCCAGATATACTGAGTTTAAGTACCCTAAAGTCTGCGTTGAAATGACCCTCTGTTTTTCCCATAAAATACAAAGATTATATAGGGAAATACAACTGGTCAGTTTTGACCCCTTTACGAAGTTTTCCCAGATATGCCGAGTTTTTTGTGACACCCCAAGGAGTTCTCCTACCACCTCACAAAATTTCAAGGGGGGTCGTCGGAGGAATTTTTTTTTCGTAATAGAGCTCATATGCAAAAAATTAGCCAGATATACTGAGCTTAAGTATCCTAAAGTCTGCGTTGAAATGACCCTCTGTTTTTCCCATAAAATACAAAGATTATATAGGGAAATACAACTGGTCAGTTTTGACCCATTTCCCGATTTTTCCCAGATATGCCGAGTTTTTTGTGACACCCCAAGGTGATCTCCTACCACCTCACAAAATTTCAAGGGGGGTCGTCGGAGGAAATTTTTTTTCGTAATAGAGCTCATATAAAGAGAATTTCACTCGCGGTCATTTTTTAGCCCTCGTCGAGGGCTTTGAGTGTAACCGACAGTTTTCCCTAAAGGTCAAGCCATTGACCTAGGAGCATGCAAAAAATTAGCCAGATATACTGAGCTTAAGTATCCTAAAGTCTGCGTTGAAATGACCCTCTGTTTTTCCCATAAAATACAAAGATTATATAGGGAAATACAACTGGTCAGTTTTGACCGCTTTACAAAGTTTTCCCAGATATGCCGAGTTTTTTGTGACACCCCAAGGTGTTCTCCTACCACCTCACAAAATTTCAAGGGGGGTCGTCGGAGGAATTTTTTTTCGTAATAGAGCTCATATAAAGAGAATTTCACTCGCGGTCGCTTTTTAGCCCTCGTCGAGGGCTTTGAGTGTAACCGACAGTTTTCCCTAAAGGTCAAGCCATTGACCTAGGAGCATGCAAAAAATTAGCCAGATATACTGAGCTTAAGTATCCTAAAGTCTGCGTTGAAATGACCCTCTGTTTTTCCCATAAAATACAAAGATTATATAGGGAAATACAACTGGTCAGTTTTGACCCACTTCCCGATTTTTCCGAGATATGCCGAGTTTTTTTTGACACCCCAAGGCGTTCTCCTACCACCTCACAAAATATCAAGGGGGGTCGTCGGAGGAATTTTTTTTTCGTAATAGAGCTCATATAAAGAGAATTTCACTCGCGGTCACTTTTTAGCCCTCGTCGAGGGCTGTGAGTGTAACCGACAGATTTCCCTAAAGGTCAAGCCATTTACCTATAAGCATGCCAAAACTGAGCCAGATGTAAAGAGCGTATTTGCCATAAAATCCGTTTTGAAATGACCCTCTGTTTTCTCCATAAAATACAAAGATTATATAGGGAAATACGACTGGTCAGTTTTGACCCATTTCCCGATTTTTCCCGGACATGGCGAGTTTTTTGTGACACCCCAAGGTGTTCTTCTACCACCTCACAAAATATCAAGGGGGGTCGTCGGAGGAAATTTTTTTTCGTAATAGAGCTCATATAATGAGAATTTCACTCGCGGTCACTTTTTAGCCCTCGTCGAGGGCTTTGAGTGTAACCGACAGTTTTCCCTAAAGGTCAAGCCATTGACCTAGGAGCATGAAAAAAATTAGCCAGATATACTGAGCTTAAGTATCCTAAAGTCTGCGTTGAAATGACCCTCTGTTTTTCCCATAAAATACAAAGATTATATAGGGAAATACAACTGGTCAGTTTTGACCCCTTTACGAAGTTTTCCCAGATATGCCGAGTTTTTTGTGACACCCCAAGGTGTTCTCCTACCACCTCACAAAATTTCAAGGGGGGTCGTCGGAGGAATTTTTTTTTCGTAATAGAGCTCATATAAAGAGAATTTCACTCGCGGTCACTTTTTAGCCCTCGTCGAGGGCTTTGAGTGTAACCGACAGTTTTCCCTAAAGGTCAAGCCATTGACCTAGGAGCATGCAAAAAATTAGCCAGATATACTGAGTTTAAGTACCCTAAAGTCTGCGTTGAAATGACCCTCTGTTTTTCCCATAAAATACAAAGATTATATAGGGAAATACAACTGGTCAGTTTTGACCCCTTTACGAAGTTTTCCCAGATATGCCGAGTTTTTTGTGACACCCCAAGGTGTTCTCCTACCACCTCACAAAATTTCAAGGGGGGTCGTCGGAGGAAATTTTTTTTCGTAATATAGCTCATATAAAGAGAATTTCACTCGCGGTCACTTTTTAGCCCTCGTCGAGGGCTTTGAGTGTAACCGACAGTTTTCCCTAAAGGTCAAGCCATTGACCTAGGAGCATGCAAAAAATTAGCCAGATATACTGAGCTTAAGTACCCTAAAGTCTGCGTTGAAATGACCCTCTGTTTTTCCCATAAAATACAAAGATTATATAGGGAAATACAACTGGTCAGTTTTGACCCCTTTACGAAGTTTTCCCAGATATGCCGAGTTTTTTGTGACACCCCAAGGTGTTCTCCTACCACCTCACAAAATTTCAAGGGGGGTCGTCGGAGGAAATTTTTTTTCGTAATAGAGCTCATATAAAGAGAATTTCACTCGCGGTCACTTTTTAGCCCTCGTCGAGGGCTTTGAGTGTAACCGACAGTTTTCCCTAAAGGTCAAGCCATTGACCTAGGAGCATGCAAAAAATTAGCCAGATATACTGAGCTTAAGTACCCTAAAGTCTGCGTTGAAATGACCCTCTGTTTTTCCCATAAAATACAAAGATTATATAGGGAAATACAACTGGTCAGTTTTGACCCCTTTACGAAGTTTTCCCAGATATGCCGAGTTTTTTGTGACACCCCAAGGTGTTCTCCTACCACCTCACAAAATTTCAAGGGGGGTCGTCGGAGGAAATTTTTTTTCGTAATATAGCTCATATAAAGAGAATTTCACTCGCGGTCACTTTTTAGCCCTCGTCGAGGGCTTTGAGTGTAACCGACAGTTTTCCCTAAAGGTCAAGCCATTGACCTAAGAGCATGCAAAAAATTAGCCAGATATACTGAGCTTAAGTACCCTAAAGTCTGTGTTGAAATGACCCTCTGTTTTTCCCATAAAATACAAAGATTATATAGGGAAATACAACTGGTCAGTTTTGACCCCTTTACGAAGTTTTCCCAGATATGCCGAGTTTTTTGTGACACCCCAAGGTGTTCTCCTACCACCTCACAAAATTTCAAGGGGGGTCGTCGGAGGAATTTTTTTTTCGTAATATAGCCCATATAAGGCGCCGGTCAGTCGAGGTCAGTTTTGACCCCCTCTCCGTAGACTTATTGCCGAACCGTCACCGGCCCTCGCGTTCTATCGCCATAAGGCACCTTCGTGCCAAATTTGACGCGCCTGCGGCGCCGGGAAGTGCCCTATCGGGCACCCGACCACTTTGCTTTATATATATAGATATATGGAGAAAAAAAATTGCTATTTATAAAAAGTTTGGCATAATGGGGGGGGGGGGGGGGGGGGGGAGGGTGAGTAAAAAGTTTATAAAAATATTGTATGGTTAACCACTCTTAATAAACTAGGCAATTAGGCCTCAATCCATAAAGGTTTCTTTCATATGGTGACAGGATGTTTACTACTTTTAAGGGTCATACTTTATTTAATCTAATCACTTTTAAATGTTTTTCCTAGGAAGGACCATTTGTTGTTCTTTCCCTTACTGGCACAGTGAACTCATCAGATCATATTTTGGCTGAGTTATGTGAGTTACTACATGTGTATTTAGTATGTGCAGTGATCTCTGTTATAAACTTTTATTAAAATCACTATGTTGATATTCCTATCAGTTGAGTATCAGCAAAACAGACTAAGTTTTTTGTTTTACCGAACCTTGTATCCGTTTGAACCTAGATGTTATCAATACTAAGTCCAACTGCATTAGTTCTCCCTGAATTAGTGTAAAGTAAAGCAACCATTATAGTTGAGTGAGTTACGGGGCAACGTAACTGATCTCTCATTTTTTATACACATTCAATTTTTTTTACCTCCCCTTGTCCACACAATGTTTTCTTATTTGTTTGAATTATTACTAAAAGTAGATAGCCTTACTAGCTTTAGACCTATTTTCCTCACCAATAGGTTTGTTAAAAATATTTTGAAGTGGGAAATGATTACAGGAAATATATGTATTTTAGCAATTGCATATCTGTTTTAGGGAAGGATATCACAGGAAAAACTTTTAATAACATTAATATCTGTTTTAAGGAAGGATATTACAAGGCATGTTTGGTAACAATCACTTCTGTTTTAGGGAAGGAGTATGGAAAAGCTGACTCAAGATGGCTAGTGTCAGACCCTACGGTTGTTTCCTTAGAGATCTTGACTGTTGTTGTTGATGGACTGCTGTGTCTTGTGGTTATACAGGGCATTCTATCAAGAGCTTTTTATCGCCACTACGCACAGCTAGTGCTATGTGTCTGTGAATTATATGGAGGTAGGCTATACCTAGGCCCTATTGTTTTACTTACCAGTTCTGGCACTGTTAAAATTAGCAACTGGGTTCATTTTTTTGGAAAAAAAGGTAATTAAAAGTAAATTATAAATAAATGGAGGTATTCTATTGTATCCCTGTGCTCCACAATGGGTACGGAGAATTGATTTGTGTAAATCTATAAGTTAATGCAAGGTCAAGTTAAGCTGAAGACATTTTTATAATTTTTTAAAGTGTTGTTAGGTTTCAGTTTATTATCCACCATTCTTTATCCATTGAATCACAACTTCCATGAAATAGGGGACAAGGTAATTTTGATGTATACATCAAATATAGTTTTAGGTATGCATGAATTTGTCTAAAAACAGTAACATTCAATTAACAAAAGAAAATGTTTGGTCACTATTATTCTTAGACTTCTATCAAAGACTAGTCAGGTCATAATTTCAGATAAAACTTTTTTTTTAGCTCTGTCTTTTTAAAATTTATTTTCCTCTCTTTATATTAGCATTGACCAATTCTCTAGGAACATTTGAACATGCTTTCAGCTTTCATAAGTCCTGAATGTTATCTCCCCTAGGCTGGATGACCTTCTGTCCAGAGTGGCTGACAGGCAGCAAGAGCCTGGACACCAGCAACTGGATGTTTCTGTGGGTGTACCTGGTGTTCTTCAATGGGCTGTGGGTGGTGGTGCCTCTCCTGCTCATGTACCAGACATGGGAGGCAATGAAGGCGCTCCCTCAGAAGCTTGTCTCAGCCAAGAGCTCTGGCAAAAATGTGCCAGCCACACAGAAGAGTCCACCTTCTGCCCCCAAGACTGCATCAACACCCAAGTCACAAAAGAAAGAAAAGTCTGGCTACAACACCAGAGCTAGAAAAGAAAAATAATGAAATTATTGTTTCTTTGGGAAGTTATAAAAACCTTAGTTTATGGAAGCTGCAATAAAGATAAATTGGTAATGAATTAATGAGATATGTTCTATACTTTTTACTAGTTGATTACTATAAGGCTTTTAAAATACTGTTTTTAAAGAATTGCAGTTTTTTATGATATACTTAGTGCTTATTGCACACATTTTTAGGAAGTTACTGAATGTTTATTTTGCTATTTTATTTTATTAAGATTTGTGTATAATGTAAAGTAATAGATGTGCTAAATTGAATTGCTTTTCTCTATTTGCTGTTTTGTTTAATAGTTATATTTTTGTGTTTTTGTAGGGCTTTGATTATTAGTTTTGTTTTTGTCAGCTGAACTTTGTATAGAAAGTACAAGTCCAGAACATTTTCCTGTGTCGCTCTGTTGAGGACCTAGTAAAGATTTTAAATGCAAATTAATTAAGGTGTTCAATCTATGTGTAATGTGTAAAATTTTATGTTATAATTTCCTTACGCTTGTATATTGCTCCAATGTGAAGCATTTTTATAGCTTATAATTTTAGCTGTTAATTAATTTTCAGTTGTTGCCAAATTAAGTATTTAAGTTTTAAATTACTGTTTAAACAGATTATTATAACATGTAGACTTATTAATTTATTTTGTTTACACCATGGGTCTTTTGCCCCATACCTTTTTTTTTTAAATTTACAGTCGTGGCATGCCTTAAAAATAACTTTTATAGGTGCCACCAGGAGATGTCATTTGCCAGATGTCACAAAAAACATATGACAGTCTTAGCCTTAAAAGTAATTTGTAATGTATTAAATACATTGATTGCATGTTGTAACCCAACAAACCTCAGAGATAATTGTTTAATAACATTTTGATACCATTTACACTTTTACAATAAAAGTAATATTGTATTTATTTGGAGGCTTGCTGTTTATTTTTCCTGCTGATCAACCGTGGGTTTGTCTGTTAATTGTAACTGTTCTAGCAGTCGAACAAATGCAAGGAATTGTGACATGGTTTTACATTTATTTTAATAGATTTTTTCTGTCCATTACGTTAACATTTTAAAGGTTGCAACTCCCTCAAGAATGTTTATGGAATTTATTAAGTATGTTTAAAATTAATAGACATCACACTTAATTAATTAAAAACTAATTGCCTGTAACAAAAAAAAAGATTCCTCTAATACTAGTAGTACATCTAATACCTTGGTTCAACCTCGTAATAATTTCCCAATAGAGTGAATGAGTTTTTGTCTATCATCAGTCTAAGACAACATTTTAATAGTAGAACATCTATGCTGCTCAGCTCTCTGCAGCTTCAGGCCATAAAATGTGCACACTCTTCTAGAATTAATAACAGCCTTATAAACGGCCATTTGTACAATAAAAGAACAATAATCTTTTTAAAAGATTTGATAGCGATTGTGATATTCAAATTTACTAAACAAAATTCAACTCAGGAAATTTGAAATGAAATAATTTTAATCCATTTAAAAAATAATTGTATGGAAACTAAACATTTTAAAACAATATCTGATAATATTGCAAATTTTACTTGTTTAATTTATAAAGACGACGGTTTATCTGTTATGCTACTAAAGTGATTTGGCATCATAAGACCGCTGGCAAATTTTTTTTTATTTCTACTTGTCAATTTAGTTGTTTTTATAATTAACATTATGTACAGATCATAGGAATATATGTACATAATAAAACCAAAAAAAGAATCTTGGTGACAGCATGATTGAACTCAAACAAAAAAAAAATGTATAAATAGCAACAATGAATTGTACAATCTTCAGACCTGATCAACTCTCATCCTGTCTATGGCTTCAAAAGGCTAGACAATATTCAAATGTTAAGAACATAAGCAATACATTTCTTGCATATTTCATTTAATTATATACACATGCATTGGATGGTTTTTTTTATTATAACTTAAAATGTGTTTCTTGGATGACATAGTTTTCATTTTTTTTTAAATTATCTTGCCTTGGTTGGTCTGTTTAAAATAAATCCAATGGGATTTTCTAAAAAAAATTTTGATGTTGAAAATAAAGTATATGAAAATTGAATTTATTAGGTGTAAAGCCTAGCTCAGGATTCTCACAATCAGATCTGTAGAGATGCTTAACACAAACAAAATTCAGTTGATTTTTAAACACAACATCCACAGCTTAGTTGACTTAAAAAAATGAGCAATAATATTTCAGTGGACCACTTCAAATCTAATTTCACATTTTAATTACTAATTAAGTGCTGTAATTTACTTAGAATACTACAACCCAATATGAACACTAGTATTAATAACTTGTAATGCCAAGTAAAAATTACTAAACTTTGAAATGGTCCATCAAGTAAGAAAAAAAAATTGAATGCAAGAAATGGAAGTATAACAAGAATACAGAAATAGTTCAAAGGGAATGATGTTTGAATAGTTTTAAAAAAAAAAATTCTAATGAACATGATTTATTTTAACAAAAGACTGATAGTTAGCATTTTATTAAATCCATGCTGTTTGAGGGTAACTTATTAGAGGGCAAACAGTAATTGGTAGCTAAACATGCACGAACTTCAACATAAAGTCCAAACTTGAAAAAAACAAATAGGACAGCAGGGGGTTGAGAAAACAAATTTAATTTTGTATCTTGGTATAAATGAATAAACTGCAGCAGACGCGTGTCCTCACAGATTAGACAGTCCAGTGTCAGATGTCAAGGACCTGCAGTGACCATCATAAACCTATCCAACACCTTAAGAAGTAGTAAATATAGTGTCTCCTGATTCTGTTGGGGCAAACCTTTCTTCAAGGCTGTTAGGGCTAACTGAACATTATTAGTCCAACAGGTCTTGAAAAGAAAGCTGAACCAAAACTTTAAATAGTAATCAGAAGGCATGTATTAAAAAACACCGGCGCTTATTAAGCATATGAGAATAGACCATACAAGAGCCCCACATAATGTTGACATACCAGTAGGGGAGGGGGGGAATCAGTCAATCCAGGTAGTATACCTGGCTCTGTCAAAGTCAATACAAAGATAGCAAGCGCCATTACAATGTCTAGAGTTGAAACAAAAAAACTTCAGTCATTAAGTCAAGTAGTGACTATCTTGTCGTCTGTTGAACCAGTCCCAACACAAGAATCAAAGGTGGCCCCTGTAGTTGATCTACCACACAGGCCGTAACCAAGTCAGCAATGAGTGTCAGAAATGTAGCATTGGCCAGTGTACAACTAGAAGCATGTCACATGCTGTTTGAGTCATCACTATAGGATGAATCACTCCATGATAGTCCATTGCAGTTGAATTGCAAACCATGGGGGGGAGGCTGTCCATCAGGGAACAAGAAATAATGGCTGGCCCTGGTGTCGCTGGAAGGCAGTCGGTGATCCAATGATAATGGTAATGTAGATGAGTATCATCTATCCCTGGAGTGAGGGATTGGGAGATTTGTGTTGGATAAACGAGTGGTTGCAGCTCCACTTTAAGTCCTGTTGTCTAGTTTTCAATCAGTCACTACTTATGTTGTCTCAAAGCCAATTTTCCAAAGCCGTAATCAAAATTTGAAGCCTTCTTGGGGAATTTGTGCATTAGGGTCAAACTGATACCCATCCCTTGAAGCTTGTGGTAGAAGTGTTTCCTCATCATTCTAAAAAAAAAATAATTTTGTATTAACTTCTAATAAATTGGCACATGCAGTTTTAATAGTCAAATTTACTGCTAATAAATATATAGAGTAGCAATTTTTCCATTTTTAGGGGATTTAAGCTTAGCATAAAATAAAATTCTCACTATTAGGCTAAAAGTGAGATCATTTTGAAAAGACTAGAAAAAAATAAAACTTCCAGAAAGATTGTACAAAATAAGTACTCACATCTTCTTGAAAGTATCCATCTATAATCTCATAGGACAATTTATAGATTTCTTCATTTTCATGGTTCTGCAAGCTTTCAATTTTGTCTAGGCCTGAAATTCGTAACACAGTTTGTTAACAACATATAATGTGATAAATGACAAGGTTTAAGATTATTAAACACAAAGGTGATATGAAACTAACCTCCACATTCCTCAATAATTTGACAGATGTGTTCCACATCATCCCCAGCCATCTTTAGGATGTTGTTGATGCCATCAAGCACGACATTCACCACCTGAGCATCTTTCACAGACAGAAGATTACAGAAGGGAGGTAAGACTCCCATCTCCACCACATATGCAACCTGCTCTTTCTTGCCACTGATGGTTAAGTTACTGATAGCCCAGGCTGCTTCCTTCTGTGTCTGGAAGTCACCCTACAAAATATAAACAGCCCAGTGTTAATATTCCCCAAGTCTTTATCCACCTACAGCAATGAAAACGCTTGGTACATTGAAAAGATAAAGTTCTGAGATAACTTACCCTGTTAAGATGGTGAATAATCAGAGGAATTAGTCCAGCATCAATGACTGCCTGTACTTGATGGTAGTTGCCAGCTGTGATGTTGGACAAGAACCAAACAGCTTCCTAAAAAACAAAAACTAAACATTTAAAGGGACAAGAACCAGCTTCCTAAAAACAAAAACTAAACTTCAATGGGATAAGAACCAGCTTCTTAAAATACAAAATCTAAACATCAATGGGAAAAGACAACACAAAACATTTAATAAAACAAGAACCAAACAGCCACCAAAACAAACACATTCAATGGGACAAGAACTAAAACAAATTATAAAACAAAAAAGTCCAATGACAAATATAAAAAATTTCTTAAACATACAAACCAGCATTCAATACAAAAAGGAAGTGAAAAGCTTCCTAAACAAAAACAAAACAACCAAACAGCTATTTAAAAAAAAAAGGATAAACCATGCTATATTATGTCTGATTAAACAAAATTACCTTGTTTATTTTTTCTTTGGGGTGAGTGAGCAGTGCAGAGAAATGTTGCAGAGCACTACAGTTGAGCACTGCCTGAGTCTGTTCATCTGTGCCTGTTACTATGTTGCCCACAGCTCGGAGTGCAGCAGTCTAAAAAAAAAACATGGTTTAAAATGGTTAACACTTTATAATAAATCAATTCCATATACTAACCCCAACAATGTTAAAACTTGCTGTTTCAGCCCCATCACTGACATTTCTAAACTGACCTGAACTTTAACATCCTGGTGACTAAGTAATGGAACAAGGAAGGGAACAACTCCACTTTCTATCACCATTTGAATCTGATCATTTCCGCCATCTGTAAGGTATGAGAGAGCCCACACTGTGTCTACCAATATCTAAGATATAAAAAAAACACATTTAAACAGGAAAGTAAACAAAATAAAACGGTTGTTTCATTATGGGCAATACATTTTTAAAACAAATTTATGCAGACAACTTCAGAAATAAAAGTGCTAGACTCACATTGACATCTGAGTGATGGATAAGTTGGCACAAAGCAGGAAGAATCTCTTCTATTGTTTCTGCAGGAGGTGGTGGGTCTTTGTTTCTACACAAGTTGACAATAACCCAAGCAACATTGCGTAAGAAAGGTAAGGGTATGCTGGGATTGATAAAGGTCAACAAATGTTGGACAGCTCCAAGGCTTATCACATAGTTTCTGCACTGTGGACCATCACCTGGTTGAAACAAAAATTTGCTAGCCATCTATACGTCAGTTTATAGACATTCAAAATTAAGGAAATCTAACCTAAATAGCTAAGCAGGAGCATATGGGTGTGCAAATAAGAAGGAGGAAGTGGCGCTGGGTGGGTCACACACTGCGAAAGGCTCATACAAATGTTACACGCCAAGCGCTTGAGTGGAACCCCCAGGGAAAGCGGAAGAGAGGGCGCCCAAGACAGACCTGGAGGCGGAGTCTTCTTGAAGAACTGAAGCCAACAGGGATGTCTTGGGAGATGTCAAAATTAATAGCCGAGGATAGGAAGAAATGGAAGGAAATGGTGGAGGCCCTATGCTCCATAAGGAGCAAAGAGGACTAAGTAAGTGAAGTAAGTGAACCTAAATAGCATAAATTGTATCAATAGAACAAGCTTACTAATTTAAAACTACAGACAAAGCATATTGGGCCATCATTTGTGATACATACTTCATTCAATACTTACCAATTATATTACCCAAAGCCCATACAGCCTGTTCACACACATTTTGATGTGGGGACCTCAAGAGTTGTAGAAAATATGGCACAGCTCCTATAATTATTGATTGTAACTTTACAGTTGTGTACAACAAATGTTATTTATAACACAATAATCAATGGGGTTTTTATGAATGCAGGAAAATTAGGTTTTCTTGTAAGATCTACAAATGATCACTTTAATACTTGTAACATAAAATATTTAATGCTTTCGTATAAAATCTACAAATGACTGGGTAATTAAGGGTAAATTCAATATTAAATGTTTGCATGAGAAGTCTACAATGGAGAATGTTTAAAAACAAGTAAGTGTACTGACCAGCATTAACAACAGCCTGTGTTTGAGCAGATGTACCAGAAGCAATGTTTGTTAATGCCCAGGCAGCTTCAAATTGTAATGAAGGGTTGTCATCTTTAGATAAACAGTTGACAAGTATTGGAAGAATTCCAGATGAAATAAGATCATCTATTGGAGGATTACGATCACTTGATAACAATTTCCTGGAGAGAAAATTTATTATTAGTTATTATACAATTTCTTTTAAACATGCAAGTTATCTTTAAAGTTAACTTTTACCATCAGCCCATATAAAAGTTAACAGTGAAAAAAGCAGTTAAGTGTAATTGATAGTAATTTTTTCCTGGTATTGATATTCCACAAAAAAGATTCACTACGCAGTGTAGTCAGAAACAAGGAGCCAAATAATAAATAAACAATAAATAATACTATTTTATCCAACAATAGCATTAAATTCATGAGTTACCTTGCAGCTTGAACTGCTCCTAACTGAATTTCTGGCTCTGGACTGTTTGCATTAGCTACTATAGTCTCTAAAGATTGAGTTGTTGGCTTCTCATTGTCTTCAGAATCTGTGCTGTCTTGAGTTGGAACATTTCGTCTTTTAAGCATATGTTCCTCGCGTTTATTCTGAGGTTTAAAGGATATAATAAATACACTTTCAATGTAACAATGAATATATTACACATTTTAAAATATATTGCAAAACTATAAAATTTTTTAAAAAAGCTAGACAAATGTTTAAAATACATGCGAACAAAATTGTACACAAAAATATGATATCAGAGGTCAATAATTTACCTTTCTAAGTTCAATTGTAACTTCTGTTCGTCTTCTGCGCATTTCCTAAAACAAAACAAAAAATATTCTTAATTATGGTATCCCTTGATTATTTTAACAATGTTTATGTTTAGTACCCTTTCAAACCTTATGGTTCATAAGGCAAGTTAAGTGTTAAGTAGAGTTCATCTGTTTCAGTGACTTCAGGAAAAAAAAACAGATAGCCAATAAAGAAAATATTCACAGCTGTGAGGGCTAGCAGACCAAACACTGGTTTTGAAAACAGTCTTGATAATATTATGTGCATCAGTACAAAAAGCCTTAGACAGATTCCCAAATTTAAATAAAGATCAAATTATTTTAGGTGTATTAGCATAAGTGATGCCTGACAATAGACCTTTTCAAAAATAGGGTTGTTAATAATATCTCAGGTTTAGAGTGAAGGTCAGAAATTAGGGTTAAGGCTATAGTACAAATAAAAAAACGGAAAATTAAAAAAAAACTTACAATAATAAAATAAATAAGAAAACAAAACTAACTTGCTTTCTTTAAAAATAACATTGGTCGATCATGAAATCTACACATTTTAGTGACTAATGCTTTTATTAAAGAAAGTAAATTAGTTATAGTTTTATTATTTTTACTGCACTTAAAGGCTTATAATTCTAAATGTTTTTTTCTTTATTCAAAAGGTTTTTTAAATTTGTTTTTTATTAATTCGCATTAGGCCTATTCATTATAACTAAAATATAATGCTACTTCAAAAAGACAACCCACCCTCAAACAAATTTTGGCAGTTTAGCCTCAACTTAACCCACGAACTGTCATTACGGCCGATGATCGGCCGTAATTCCCCTTTCTGTGGTGTTACGGCCGACTAAATCGGCCGTTATTAAAATCGCGGTTAAAAATGCGAATGAATAAATATACGTTGGTTAAGGGGAAGTAACTATTAAAAAATGAATTTCCTTCCTGTTTCCGGTATTGGAATGCTTTCTGTTTGTACATGAGCTTTGATTTTCGTTTTAAAACGGGAGTGAATATTTTCTCAGTATTTTTACTATGAAAATGTCGGTCTAAAGCCACAGATCGTCAATCTAGATTAGAAAATAGCCTTAGATCTTCTTTATATGATTAAATACAGTGAGAAAATAAAGAGATGACTAGACATTCATGTTTGTGGTCTTCATTTCAGTAATAAGATATTTTAATAAAAAACTAGATTTATTATAATGAAAATGTATGCCTTTTTACTGTAATTCTTTGAATGATCGCAAAGTAAAAGTCATGAATGAAATAATTCATACAAAATCGCTTTTCAACATTAGTTTATAAAACTATGTATTATCTAAAACTAATGACTTCTAGTATCTAAAAATGTAGTTTCTATGAGACTTGGAATTTTTTGGGGGGGTTTTAGGGAGGGTTGAATACAGAAGTTGAGTAGTCAAATTTTACTCTTCTTGTAAATGTCAAGGTCACTATCAACATACACAAAATAAAAACAAATTATTTGTGTATCAAAAGATTCCTTGTCCAATATACTTTCAGAAAATGTATACATGTAGGGGTCTCTGATTTCATTCAATACTAAATTTTGACAATTTTATCAAGCATACGAAAAACTCTAAAAATGCCCGAACGCCACAGAACAGTTGCACTCGACAGTTCGTGGGTTAAATAGTCATTCCTTCCTCACTTAAATTAGTCCTTCCTCGACGAAATGGTAACTTGATTAAATAGGCCTAAATAATTATATTCCTAACATTTTCAGGGGTGTGACCAGACTCTTTACGCTTAATGCAGCAGCTCTAATGCATAGCAATAAAGTAATTTAAACTACCTAACTGAAAAATAGAGAAAAAAATTTGGATTCTGAATCTCTAGAAATTTGGGAAAGTCACATCCCTGCTTACACAAGTCATTTTTAAAATACATGTTCGAGGCCCTTATAATTTTTTTTAAACATGTAGGCCTATTTCTTATTTTTTTGTATATATGATAAAAAGAATCCTCTTTAGACCTAGAGATCCTCTGGGCAAATGAAGTAGAGTTCATTTTTCTTAACTTTGGCATATGAAGGTAAAGTGTAGTCAGCACTTTTTCCAGCCGCCTTTACTTTCCCATTAGAGCTGGGTGCATTCAGGGACGTTATACTGACTTGAATCCAGATTTGAACTCAATACTTTAGGGCTAGCTGCTTAACGCTCTACTGCTGAGGCCAGGCCGTCAGTTGATTCATAAAAAAATTAGAGGCCTTCGTAAAAATATGGATGTGTTTTGGTTCATCAAAGGGCTATGGAGTATAAATGGTCAAAGACATAGGGTTTCTTTCAATGCTCACTCAAATCTGCCCAACTACAGGCAATTAATGCAACTTTGACACAGAAGTTGTTAAGGATGTATGTATTATGTATAGGCTACTTATTGTATTGAATAGATTTATGTAGGCCTATACCTAATGAAATCTAATTAGGCTATAAGACTAGGACTATGTCACTTTATAACTTCAAAATAAAAGTGATGAATGTTCGGAACAAGGCATTTGTTCTGGGCTGGCAGTTTAACTAGATCTAGAGGAGCTTACACTTTTCGGACACACATAGCGAAAAAACGCAACGTAAAAATTCCATGCGGTCTCATTCAGTAACCGCTTAACATAGAAAACAAAAAAAAGTATCATATCTATCCGCAACCATTCTACTTTAATAATGTGTGTGTCATTTTGTATTCATACGCATAGAACTTAAGCTATTCTTGTTATAGTGACTGGGGGGTCTTAACGTGTGTTCGAACACATGTAATACAGTTTTACATGTGTTCGGACACCTTTACCCGTCATCGGACATAGCACTTTTTGTTCATTTAGAATAATTTAAAGTCAATTTAATGAATAAAAACATATATTATATGCATTTATATTGTGTTATTGATTGTTTGTGAGGTAATTTTAATAGTATAAAACCTTTTTCCCACACTCCCAAAGTTCATCCCATTCAGCCATTGCGGCTCGCGCAGTACGCTGCTAAGCCAGCCAGGTCACATGATTCCCCCTCCTCTTTTGCATTCCACTGCCTTCTTGACCTTATTTTGACCCTTTCCCTTCAATAACCAGCCCCTTTTATGCTCTAAATTCTTATTTAATAATATTTTTGTGTTGCTGTCCGATCCCATGTAAGGCCATATAAGTTAGCGAACACCCCTTTTTTATTGTTCAAGCACGAAAAAACCCATTAACCTTGACATTTACGATGTTCCATACATATATAGAAGCTATTTATAGTGTAACCTTTTAGCTAAGCAGTGATTGGTTCAAGTTTTGCCCCTAAGTCCAACCCTAGGTCACTTCATCCGGCTGGTGTAAAAATAGAAATGTGCGTACCATGCAACGTTAAAAAATTTCTAAAAATAATTCTTGAGAAAGGAAACGGAAGTACTTGACACGGAAGTGTTCATAAATGAACAGTTTACGTGCAGGCGCCGTGGTTTCGCGTGAGACATGCTAATTAAAGTTTCTATGAGCCAAAAACCGACGAAGTGTTCGGTCCTACGTAATTTTTGGTGTGTGTCCGAAAAGTGTAAACTCCTCTAGATCTTTTAATTATTGTAAGCTAAATGTAACTACTCTAACTGATCACTAAATTTATACATCAAGTTAACTTGCTGAAAGTTTTATTTTTAAAATTTATAATTTTAGGTCTTCAATGATCAGATAGGTCGGTGAGGTACACACAAAAAAAAAGAGTAGCCTATTTCAAACTATTTTTTGTAATTTTTAGGCCTAACGACAACGTTCATTAATAGTAGGTTAAATCATTAAATGTCACTACGATAGATTCAAGAACTCAAGAATTCCTGTAGATCTAGACCTATAATCTATCTATTCTATCTGTCATTACGTAATTTTTTTTTTTTTTTTTTTTTTTTTTTGGAAATGAAAATATTTCAGTATCAGAGTTCAGCGAGAAAGTGAAAATGGGCATACTCGGAGAACTTCCCCAAAAAACATTGTGCTGTCCATAATAACTTACGTCGGCATCTTTCCCTTTGTTCTTAAACATAACCGTCCGAGCTTTTCCTGAATCCAGATTCATGTTTATTGTTTATATCTGTAAGAGACCAAAAGGGTAAAGTACAATCGAAATATTTAATATTCTTTCTCCTAAGGCCACTTTTTTACACCTTAGAAATGTCTGACTTGGTCATGCTTTAGCGAATTATAGAACAACGTTTTCCATTGGTCTACTAAATTAAACTCGTAAATATAAAATAAAACCAATCAGCAAGAAATTAAAGAATATACGACATTTTTTCATTTATTTTAATAAAATGTTATTTAATATTAGACTGAATATATTTTTCAAACAAACATGTCGTGTTTAAATCTTTTCAATAAATTTGTCGTCATTGAGCTAAAATTAGAAACAAATCAAAGCTTCTGTAACATCACAGCAATTTGCTGCTGTCCTTCAATATAATATTTTTCGCATTTTCTACCTACTTCTTCCTACGAGTTTTTAAACAATACGAAATATCTGGAGTAGCTTAGCTTATTTGTGATTAACTGTTTGTATGTGTGATGACTAGATAGATATGACTCATTGACCGGTACGAAATAGTAAAAATATCAGCAAGAAAAAAAGGATACTTTAAAATACACTACAGATTACAATTAGGTCTCATCTATATAAGAAAAAAAGAGCAGAAAATTAAATACAGCCGTTTTAGAGAAATGCAGAAAATCACCAAAACTAGACCTTATTTTAAATTGGCTTTTGAAACTGAATTTGAGCACATTTCTATTCTGTAATTTGTTATAAATAATAAAAATTGATCCATGTTGACCGAACGCAGTTAATGTTTAGAAAAACTGTAATGGGTGACGTTATTTTTAAAGCAGTGTGTGACAATTTGTGACGATATAAAAGTGGGGGGTGGAGGAGGGGTAAACGGAAAAAAAGTCACAGGAAAAAAAAAACACAGAAAAAAAGTCACAGTTTTTGCTAGGAAAAAAAGTCACAGAAAAAAGTCACAGTCGAAAAATTTTATCGGAAAAAAAGTCACAGAAATAAAGTCACAGAAAAAAAGTCACAAAAAATATTTTTAGAAATATTTTTACTAATTTGTTAAGAATTGTAAAATTTTGTATGTTTATTGTTGTGGGTTGTATTTTTTTATAGCATAAATTATTTATAGACGTTAAAAGCATTATGATTTATAACAATTGTAAGTAAAAAATACTCTAAGATAATTAACACAACAATCTCAACTTTTGTTGCGTATTTAGTTAAATACGCGGTAGAAAAAGTTAATTATAAAAGAAATTTAGGCACATTTTGTCCGAACATATTTTGTGTTGTTGACGTTATGCGTCAATGACAGCCTTTGAACCTTGTCGGCTTTCGGTTTTGATCCTAAGTTTTGTTATGTAATGAGCGTGATAAATGTGGGCAGTAAAGGTGGTTGAACTAAACATAACTATTGTTGCCATGAGTTGAGGGCAGCAAGTCAGATGAACTTACCATTTCACTGTAATTTAATATTGGTATTTAAAAAACAAACACGATGAAAAACGTGGACTTTGGAGCATTCTATTAAATGCTACTAATCTTAAGTTTAAAATAATTACAATCTACATACTTCATAATAAATATTTTTAGATGAATTATAAAAATTCCTATGCGTATACAGCCTAAACACATTACATTACATTTAATTAATCCTAAGTTAATTTGCACTCTCTAAATATTTAATACATACAAATATTAACAAATATCATGCAAATATATATTTGTGACTTTTTTTCCTGTGACTTTTTTTCCTGTGACTTTTTTTCCTGTGACTTTTTTCTGTGTTTTTTTTCCTGTGTTTTTTTTTTTTCCTGTGACTTTTTTTCCTACAATCGGAGGAGGCCAAAATGTGACGTTATTTATGCAAGCCAACTTCCCTTGCCCCGTTCCAGTGTAGGTCCCTATCATAGGCGTAGCGAGGGCAGGGCGGGGGTCGGACCGCACCGGGTAACACCATTTAGGGGGGGGGGGTGACACCATGGCAAAAAATTGCAAAATGTACAGTTCTATTAATGATTAGTTAAAGTAAAATAGTCTTTTAAGTACAAATCGACAATTATTACAAGAGGATGGGGGCTGACATCATGACGTAAGCATGCTAACTATACAGAAAACAATGCTAAATTCAACTTTATTATTAACAGACTATAGATAAACATTACTGTTAAGTCTAAATTGATTAAATCGTATGCACATACGTGTGCGCGTATGCGGCAAATATTATTATACGCCTATGTGGGCCAACGATATACATATACACTTTGTTTCCTGAGGGGGGGGGGGGGTGACACAACAAAGTGCCGCACCGGGTGACACCCGAGCTAGCGACACCACTGGCCCCTATTATAATTTGATGATCAGCTGCCAACAAGTGAATTTTGACTCTTAGCGTCTTAGCCGTAATGCACAGCAGCTTACACATTGCATAGTACTGTAATAATGAAGGGGAGAGAATGAGTCAAGAAGTGTCGGTTTGACACAGCGTAAAACAAACTGTAGGCTTATAATGGCTTATATGAATTTGTTTTTAAAACACAGACAATATTGTATATAGTATTTTAATAAGAAAATTCAAACGTTTGTTGTTTACAATAAACGTTTTCAGAATGTGAAAAAAAATAATTGTGTAGCACTGTGTAGCTCATTCCAAGTGGATTAATTTTTTTTTATTTTTCTAATCTATTTTTAAAACAAGGGAGAGTAAGCATCTGTTTATTACCGATCAGTATTAAATGAGCTACCTCCCTTACTGCTTCTTTCATTTTATCTGTTTTTTTATGTGCCACATTTTTGACAAGCATTTATTTCGTTCGCAACGTCTGTTTGTGGGTTTGTGGCAAATCTAGGAAGTCAATTTTGACCCACTTCTAATGCAGCGATTTCGTTCAAACTTTACAGATAAGTTCCACTTCGATGACAATACAAGTTTATCTATTTTAAAAAAATAATTTAAGTAGATGTTTAATTAGTCATTAAAAATTAATTAAACTGTTTCATAATAAGGGGACTTTAGCTCCACATGCCCACAACTCCAGATCACCCATAAGCTCCACATGCCCACAATTTCACATCACCATTAAGCTCAACATGCCCACAACTCCAGATCACCCTTAACTCAACATGGCTACAACCCCACCTCCCACTGTTTAATTTACATACCGTCATCACGCCATGCACCCCCACCCCCACGGCCCCACCCCACCCTTTAGACCGTGCAGGTGATCTCACGCGCATTAGCTGCCATACGTCTGGAGTTTGCAGGTAATTATTTACTCACCCCACCCCCAGAGGCGTAGCGACCCTTCCCGGCGCCCGGGGCGAACTTTCAATTTGGCGCCCCCCCCCCCGCTTATATATATATATATATATATATATATATATTTATATATATATATAAAAATATATATATATATATATCTATATATATATACATGTGTGTGTGTATAGCTATGTGTGTGTGATAGTGTGTTTATATATAAGCTTGTGTGTGGGTAAGAGTGTATGTGTGTGTGTAAGCGTGTGTGTAAGCGTGTATGCTACAGTCCGGACAAGGTTTAATAATTACATTGTATGATTTTCATTCCTTAAAACTTTACGACAATGTAATTCCCATTAAGATGCGTTTAAGTTTTTTTTGCGAAAGATTAGTAAAAAAAAATAAGCCTGATCTGTGTTAGAGGGTAGTTTGTAGCTAACGCTAATATGTTTAGACAAGCCTTTTATGTTCTAGTTTTGGAACGATCTCTGTTGTGATATGGTACATAGTTGGATTCGAAGTTTTTTAGAGTAAGGACACACAAGTGACATACAAGAAGAAGTTATCAGAAATATTTATTGTTCACATTGGAATACGACATGGGTATTTCATTGATTGGTTGATGGTATGACAAAACAAGCTAGAGAAAACAAACTGGAATCCAACGGATGTTAACAGCTCGTAGTCTTGGATTTCGCAGATTTGCCCTGCCTTCTCGCACACAGAGTTTCTTCCAGGCATCTCTTCGGGGGGGGGGGGGGGGGGGGGGGGCGAAGCCCCCGAAATTTTTTTACCGCCCCCCCCCCCCCCCCCCCCGAACGAAATTTATATAATTTATATATAGAAAATATATACGTTTAACAGTGTCCGCCCCCCCCCGAAGAAAGTCTACCGCCCCCCCCCCCCGAAAATTTCAAGTGCCCCCCGGGAGAAAAAAGTCTGGAAGAAACACTGCTCGCACAACGTCAAACACAAATGCAGAACTAATTGTATTGATTGAAGAAGCAGTAACAGTCAATTTAATGATAGCCCATGACATTCTGATTATAATCAGCAGCAATAAAACGCGTTTTAACACTCTAAGAAAATGTGGAATTCAAATGCATTGTCAAAAAAATTCAATCAGGATCTGTAACTAAATGTGGTCTCTTTTACTGTATGGCTTGGAGCTAGATTACAGACAGTGGAGAATGAAATAAGAGCATGGAAAAAAGTGGTGGTTAGTGGCTTAGGGATTCAAGAATCCGTGATATTTAGTTCTCTTTAATATAGTTCAGTGATCCAGGTAAGATGTAATGCAATCAATCAAAAGTATCTGATCTCTCACGTTGAAGTTGAGAGAATCGTAAGAATCTTACAAAGAACTAGTCGCGTCTTTTTTTTTAACAAAACTGGCTATTGAAATTGTACTTTACGCGTTAATACACTTGGTTTCTTTACTAAGTGTTAAGAGAGTTATCTGCTCACCAATCCAGTACAAATACTTGCGATTTTTGTTAGCGAAAAAAGCGCCCCCCACCCCCACACACACTCATCACAACCATCTTGGACAAAGTTTGTAGAGCGGTTTTTAACGTAACTAACTTTTTTTTTAAAAATGTTACACAATTATACAATGCACAGTACAATTCGTTTCTTTCTGAGAG